GTATCAGGTAACACACACACTCACACACACACACTCACACACTCACACACACACACTCACACACACACACACACACACACACACACTCACACACACACACACACACACACACACACACACACACTCACACTCACACTCACACACTCACACACACACACACTCACACTCACACTCACACACACTCACACACACAGGCAGTGTATTCCAGTGAGATCAGATGTTTTTCAGCTGCAGTAAAGATGAATAAAGTCTCACGTAGCTCAGTGAGCCTCAGTGAGCTCTGCTCTTATTCACCTGAGAAACCTGAGCACTCTTAACACGGCCGCACCTGCAGGACACAATACTCTCTCTCTCTCTGTCCTCTTTCTCTCTCTTCTTTCTTTCTTTGTCTGCTTTCTTCCCCTCCCTTTTCTCTCTCTCTCTTCTCCTCCCTTCCCAAATGAAAGGGTCAGTAGTTGAATATGCTCTCTCTCTCTCTCTCTCTCAGGTGGGGTGCTCTGAGAGAATGTCAGTGACTCATAAATGTGTGTGTGTGTGTGTGTGTGTTTGTGTGTGTTTGTGTGTGTACAGTGTGTGGGTGTGTGTGTGTGAGTGTGTGTGTGTGTGTGTGTGTGTGCGTGCTGACCTGCTCCGATGACCTCCTCTATCTTGACGAATGAAACGTCGATCTCTTTAGCGAACTCCCGCACGGCTTCGTTCGGATCTTCGTACGTAAACGGATCGATGTACACCTTAACACCTGTGAAACCATGGCAACCAAACATACACATCACACACACAGATATAAGGTTCACAATCATTTAGGAAAACTACTACATATTATATATGTATATATATATATATATATATATACACACACACACAGTACTGTTCAGAATGACCCGAGAAAAGAATTAATATTGCAATAAATAATTGTTTCTCCACTGTAGTACACCTATAATGTGTGTGTGTGTGTGTGTGACTCACTGTGTGATGTCAGAATGGCCAGGGGGCAAAATGTCACACCTTTAAACAGTGAGAGAGTGTGTGTGTGTGTGTGTGTGTGTGTGTGTGTGTGTGTGTGTGTGTGTGTTAGACTCACCTTGGCTCATGAGATACTGTCCACTCTTATCCAGCTCTGAATCCCTCAGTCTACTGTGCTTCCTGAGAGAGAGAGAGAGAGAGAGAGAGAGAGAGAGAGAGAGTCAGATGACTACACTGAACCCTCTCCAGGATCAACAACCCAGTAACCAATCAGCTATCAGCTTCAGCGCCTTCATATATATGTGTCCCTGCATGGCTGTTTATTCACATTACACAACATTCACACTCAGACTGCACACATTCGGACCTGCTATCCAGGTATACAATGTATTTTATTATATTTCTGTACATACCAGGGTTCTTTAAAGACAGGGCTTCCATTGAACACTCAAAGAGCGATTTGCATGCTTCAGATTGTGTTCTGTGTCGCTGTTGTCAAAACAAAACCTCTCCAAAATGACAACTTTACAGGAAAAGGAAAAAAAAAAAGTAATTTTTGGCCCTTTTTTTGGTTGATTCATCATGAAATTTACACACAACGTAAAGAACAACAGGCATTTTCAAACGATGCCAAAAAGTAAAAAAAGACAAAAATGGAGATACGGTTCTATAAAGAACCTTTTTTTAAAAATGGTTCTATATAGCACCAAAAAGGTTCTTCTGTTTTTAGGATGTCAAGCTTATGATAATAGAAGAACCCTTTTCAGTGCTACATAGAACCCATTTCGAAAAGGTTCTATACATAACCGTATAAAACACATTGTCCCTCAATCTGAAGAACCATTTAACCATGGACCTTTTAAGCTTGCAAATGGTTCTTTGAGTGTTTATGGTTCTAAAGTGGGCACTATAGTGTTTTCACATGGTTATAGATAATGAGCATCAGGTAATTAGGTAACTCCACATGGTACCAGGGTAATGGGATATGAGTAACTTCACATTATAACAATGGGTAACAAGGTCCGGGAGACGGGGACGGTAACAGGTTGCAAGGCAACAACAACAGAGGTAACAGAAAGTAAGTAGCAGGGTAACAGGTACAGTGTAGCGGGTGAGGGATGACGGGACGTAAGTACCTCAGCCTTAACACTAGCATTTCAATGTATGAACATCCTTGGCATGTTGTACACAAAACCCTGACTCGAATTCCAATCAGAGGTGCCAACTCGGCTTCCCTGGACTCGGCACTGTCTGCGCTATCAAACGCAAACCCTATTAACCCTGCGCAGAGGACAGAAATAGTGCTGGGTGCGGGTTCCTCTGGCTAATACATGCATGTGTAGTCCTGGGGTCAGTTTCATTGTTCTAGAGAGCAGTCCTATGGAGACGGTGCAGGGTGGACACATCCTGTTACCTCCCTCCCTCACATACCCACCGCATATAATCCACAGCCAGGACTCCACTGACTCATCACATCTACTTCTGAATAGACAAAGCGCTCACACACACACACACACACACACACACACACACACAC